AGTCCTATATGTAGACACTTAATCAATCAAGCTGCAAAATAAGACAGTCTGGATTCCCACTCTAAGACTTAAAAAGTAGTACCCTTTAATGGATACATTTATTGAGTTTTATGGGCATTTCATTTTTTATGTTTGCATCTTTTATTTAAAGATCTTTTCTGATCTAGATGAAGGTGAAAGCAATGCAAGCGTTGTTACATCTTGATCGATATTTGTCCAGAAAATTAAAACACTGGATGATAATACATTGCTAATAGCACTATTTCTCCTCTTGCACCTCCCGTTCTTCATGCAGCAACTTCAGAACTAGCAGCTTTAACTGGGAATGTAACCAGTCTCACATAAAGTTACAACGGTGGCTTGTTTTCCTTTAGCATACTTCTCATTCTCTTTGAGAAAGCTGTGAATGCATTTGAATGTAAAATATAATGGCCCAAACCAGTGGTGACCAACCTATGGCTTGCAGACCTAAACTGGTCTACCAGAATCATCCCTCTGGTCGTGGCTTTCTCCTCGCCAACATCTTCCCCCAAATCCTTGCAACTCATCCTCTGTTAAACAGGAAAAAGTATATTCCCTGCATGAGCAAAGTGTATGCACCTTCCTTCATGTGGATGTGAAGGAACATGTGCCAAGGAAGACTGCAGATGAGATGGAGGCACTTCCAGTGACAGCCTCCTGTGGCCAAAGAATGGTTACTCCTGACATAAATTAGTCAGTGGTGCAGTTCACACCAAAGGACCTTCACATGAATGCTGACAGAATTAAACTGCACAGGCATTTAGAAGTACACTGGAGTTACAGTCCTTAATATCACCTTCTCAAAAAAGTCCTGCTTCCTTCTTCCAAAGAGCAATTCAGAAATAACAATGGACAGTTTTCAGGAGCTTGCGACTCAGAATTATTTTAGCTCCTGATGTTTTAGCTTAATGTATCCTACTCTTCAGTTTCAGGACCTCTATTCAGAGTGGACCAGTCATATGGGCCTAAATGAGTCATGTCTTCCATTTCAATAAGATGACTCACATGCTTAGCTGGGTGTGTTTGCATGCTAATATTCCTTGAAATAAAAAATGAGACAGGTGAAGCAAAGTTTCAAAATGCAAAATAGCATTTCTCAGCTGCTCAGGCCAGATCAAGGAAATATCCTGGACTTAAACCATGGGCCTGGAAAAACACCCGCATGGCAAAAATTCTTCAAAATCCAGTACAATCTACATCATGAGAGCATCGTTCTATAGAAACACCTTTTCTTAAAGCAGAACAGTCCTCTGATTGTTACCTTGTGCCTCTCAGATTTAAATTTATTCACCGACAAATACAAAACTAAAATATAAAGAAAGGTAAGAAATCAGCTTAAATAATAGACGAGTTTAATGGGAATCTACGTAACTCAGTCTGAGGAAGTATAGGAGCTTTTTTAGTTGATGCAATGTAATCATTTAAATCTCTATGCACTAAACCTGGAATTTTTATTCCTATTCAAATAATTTCTGACGCTAACCAGGCCAGCAGTGGGTTTTTTTAAAGAACAGGTTAGACAACATTTGTTGGAAGTTATTCACTAAATCAACTAACTTACTTGGGGAAAAAAAAAGCGCTATCTTTTGGAGCACAAAGTGTTTGTCCAGGAGCTGTGTGCTCAAGAGCTTGCGTGTTTTTCTAAGTGATTGGTCCATGAAAAGATAACTGCTTTTCCTTACAGATCTTGCCTTGCTTATCCCATCGGACCATTTCAACTGCATCATCCATAGTATGGGAATATCTTATGATTCACTGACCAGTAAGTCTGAAAGGCAGACTGTTTCGTCCAGTGGTTGGCAAATTTTCAAGGGTGTGTGAGGTTGGCTTTTTTCCCCTTCAGACAGTAAGAGCCTGCCGGGAAGACTCGCAGGAGCCAGCTGACGCTGCCTCTCAGATCTGTAGCTGTATCCGCTCTGCGTGCCGGAGAGGGTCCCAGCTCCACGGCATCCTGTTGAATTCCTGCGGCCTCGCTTGGATGTTTATCTAAAGATGCTTCAGCTCCTGCTCCATGACCATGCTCTGTGTCACTCAAAATCTGGCTGCGTGTTGCCTTTCCTTCCTGAGCTATTGCTCCAAGGATCTGTACAATTCCAGGGTTAGGTATTTTAGCGGGGCCAGGCGATGGCTGAGGTCAAGGAGTTTCAGCCTTTATATTCCTAGGGACTGGAGAAGCATCTCCAGTAACTAACTAAATAAAATATTTTTATAGGTTGGAGTCTAATGTCAGGACTGTCACTTAGATAAACCATTATATTCCTCATACCCTTTTGTGGTCCCTTTTAAATATGTTCTCTGTAATTATAAATACAGAACCCCAGAGCTTTTAGGAGCGGCAGCAGGAGATTCATTCCCACTCCGAGCACAAGGTTATGCACTTTAAATGCAGAGGGGCAACGTAGAGCATGTAACTCTGACAGACATTTCCACTTAGGCTTTTTCCTATTCTGTGAAAGAAACTGTACTGAACAAAAATATACACAAGCTGAATCCACATCAAAGACATACGTGCTCTTAGTATAAACCCAGAAATTAGTATTTTGTCTTCTTGTTTTTCTACCGAACTTCCAGCCATCCCCAGTTTGCTGAAATGCCTTACTGAATGTACAAGTATGCCCATCATCCTTTACAAGCAGTGATGCATGGCTTTCTTGCCATTATTATTATGGATGTACGCCCGGCCTGTGTTCACATCGTAAGTAAAGTGCTCACGCAAAATCAAATGCTTACATTCAGATACAGGTGACAGCAAAAAAGCGGATTATGGTGGAGATATTCATCTGCAACTTCCCTCTTGTACCGAGCTTCCCTGGATTGTTTTATTCTGCTGTGGTGCTCAGAGAAATCTGTCATTTTCTCAGGCTGATTTCTTGGATTGCCCAGGTTATATTGGTTCTAACGGCATATTTAGCAAGCAAATATATTTGCAGTACATTCTGTAAAACACGTTCTTCATTTTGACATTCGGGGTGTTGGGTTTTTTTCCAGTCACCCTTTAACCTTTACAACTCCCACACACATTCTCGTTTTATATATGCTTGCAAATTTCCCAGCAGAGGGACATAACTCTACCGGAGCGCATTGTACGGTTAAGCCTTGCAAAGAAAGCAACCCCCTTTCTGCACTGTAGGGCTCCCATCATTAGTAATGCCAGAGCAGCGGCGACCTACGATGCTGTCGAGCTCTGGCGAGGCTCCTGAGAAAACACCCCTCCAAATCAAGCCCTCACGGCGTGTTCAGGCTGTTTCTTTCCTTCGAGCAATGGCTCAAAACTCAAGTTCAAGCCATCCAAAATCGTGTGTCTGAGCCTTCAGCCGTGCAAGCCAAGAACTCGGGCGAGCCGAGCCGGCC